ACTGCCACATGCTCGAATTTTGACTGCCACACCATGTGATAGTTATTACTCGGCCAATTTTAAACCAATTACCACAAAAATTTGTAGTTTGGTCAACAAGGATACAATAATCACTCATTCATCAACATGAAACAGCTAAATTTGTTATTTGTACACTTTATGATAAGAATATCACATGGAAACTTGTTTATGGCTGTGTAAAATCGAATTTACATGATTTGAGTGAGTTATCGTGATAGATGTGACCATCAAACCTTTCTGAAGCATGTGGGTGTTATATGTACCGCGATTAATGGTTAAATATACGAAATATGGTACGATTATCACACATCACTTAGGGTAGGCTATAATGACAACCAGTGAGGACTATTTTGATGTTTTGAACGTTATTCAAGGTGCTTTAGGCTGTAAAATAATGTTGTAATGATTGACACTCAATAAATAACCTGTAAATGATACAAATATCACATTAAATTCAATATTTTTCACGAATCAATGTCAATAATGTGTGAATGTTGTTTTTGAAGATCAATTTATCCAATATTATTAAACATAGTCAATAAGTAATAGGCATTTCATTAAATAAGCACTTTTCAGATACAAATATCACTTGATTAAAAAAAAATTTAAAAAAATAAAAAATTATTTAAATTGAAATTGTGATATTCGTATCCTATTTTGGTTCCTAGATGTGCTGTGTAAGATGTTCAGGGAGTAATAATGTTTATTGTACATGTATCAAAAAGAATCTCGTTCTATAGACCCATATTGATACATTTATCACGAATGTTACACTTGTAAAATTTGGTTCACAAAAAATGTGATATTTGTATCCTTCAAGTGATTGGAACAATTTTTCATCCTTGTATCCATACTGAGTTACCATTTTGTAGGTGTGAATGAAGTTTCATCTTTATTAATGAATTATGTACCCTTCAAACAGCCACCCAGAGAACTGGACCCGAAAAATAGCTATATTTCGTTGTTTTAAAATACAATGTGATAATTGTAGTACATCTAACGGGAGGTTGATTTTTGTATCATACTTTTCACTAATTCTGTTTGGAATTGCCTCTGGTAAAGTTTGAGTTCAACGAAACAGAAAAAAGAGGTCAAGGGGATTCAATAATCACATCATAAAACGGACAATTTTGAAACGAAAATGTGTGATATTTGTATCATAATGAGCCTAAATAACGATTTCCTTTTGTACACTGCTTCCTTAGGAGACAGGCATCATGTTACGAAATTTTCATAAAAATCTGATAACATTCGGTCTCTCCAGACCCATTTGTATCATTATCACATCTCAGAAAATGTGATATTTGTATCATTGGACTTTAAAGTGGTCTAGCTCTGTCAATTTATGTGATAGCATGATTTTGATTTCATAGTCATAAAGCTATGAAGATTCTGCAACCAATCAATCGAGTCTATCATAGCCAATAGACTATATAAGACTCTAAAAATCAATTTAGAAAAAGTCAAAACGTGAGACAACGTCTTGTTGAAGGTGTCCCTATTTCAAATATTGGGAGAAATGTTTGAAAATCACCCTTGCCCTTGTGGCTCCAAATTCAAATCTAGACTATTTATATATTAACAAAGTTCTTTCTCGCACTTCTGTCTCCAATAAAGCAGTCAAGCATTATGTATGTTATGTTGAGCATTCTCAACCAACAAATGTGGGAACACCCACGAAAGACCAAAACAGATCTAAAGAGACACTTAACAACATTGGAAAATAGACTTCAATTTGTTTATATAATTTATAAAGCGTATATTATTGCCCACGTTAAGGGGCCTGTTAATAATTTATTAAATTATTAGCTATTTTAGATTTAATAATAATAATATTCCCCGGAGAGAAATTACTGTTTCATATATAAAATTGGTAGCAGTGGACAATTTCCGTTAACTCAGTATTGTGCTCTGCCAATTGCATCACTTGATTTCATTTATTGTATATATACTGTTTGACACATTTTTCTTATCTTTTTAGTACGGAAAATTTCAAATTTCACTTTGTTATATTTAGAAAATTTTCCTGCTTGAAGTCTTCGACAGTTTCAAAAAGGATATCCGATTCCCGGTTTTGCAAAATGTGTACACTATTTGTTAAACAGAAAATGGGTCTTAGAGCAATACTACCAGGTTTTGTTAATTACTGGTACAAAGATGGTACACCACCAGCAAGTACCAAGTCTGGTTTCTATGTACACAAAATATTGACAGTTCATAGTATCATCGTAAAGAACGCATTAGTTTTTATACATAAGCTGAAAAACTTCCCAAGTCTAGTGCCTCCCTCTATAAAGAAAACAATACCTAACAGTGCACCAATATTTAACGTCGCCGATCCGGATTCGAGTCTTACAACTTTATGGTCAGATGAATACGGTAAACACCCTTACAATAATTCAGTATTCTACAAAGGTCCACTATTAGCAATAAACAGATATAGTGTCGCAGCAACTTCCTTGCCAAGTCTATTCAACCTTAACATCTACAAAAGGTGCATAAAAAACATGCTCATTGATCAACAAAACGAGGGCATTGCAGACGAATGGCCTAACTTTATGTTATACAATATAACGGGACTAAGGAAATCAGAGCGCAACATCAACCGTAATGCTAATAATAACTCTGTCCCATAAGCACGCCATCACAGAATCAATTTCACTGCATACCATCTCAGTTACACTGCCATCAATTCGCCAGCAAAAACGGCATGACGCTATGCGACTGATAACAGTCGTTAAATTTTAAAAATTTTGGAATAGCTAGCTAGCAGTAGCTATGCGCCTGTTTCCACTCTAACAACTCTAAAAGCATATTAATATGATAATTTCAACTAAAGGCAACTTTATATGTGCTCAGCTATGTTTTGTTTCGACAAGCTCTATTATATACATTTTAATCGTTTTAATGAGATCTAATCTTGTATGAGTTTTGAGTTTGAATTGATAACATTTATTATATATATTATTTTTTGAGTAAACATTGGCTGGTACTTCGGGCCGGTCCCCAACAAAAAGTACGTTTTTGGATTTTTGTTTTTTAAATGAGGACCTTGTTATAACTTTAAATGTTAAGGTTATTTTTTAAACTAATTTTTGGGCGAAATGCTTAATTGACGATGTCAACCCTACTTCCAGATCGTTGCTTTGCGAATTAACAAAGCAACGATCTCGTTGCCCGGCTCAAGCTGTTCATAGAAATAAGATTATCGTGCGATTCTTGCGCTGTGGCCAAATTATATACCATCCGATAGGAAAAACGCCAAATCGGATGTCGCAAGAAAAGCGCAACCTAGCACAATTTCCTATAAAAAGTTATGACTAAATAACTGGTCAAAATAAATATTTACACCGCGCAGCGAATAAAATAAAACCATATTAAAATAACTTGCGCGTCTCTATCTGTTACTATGCGTCGCCATGGTTATGACGTCACGTATGACTATATTTGGAAATGAGGGGAAGGCTCCTTGATCGCAACGGCGAGGTAGCGCAGTTGGTTAGAACGCCAGCTTTGCAACCGCGAGGTTACGAGTTCAAATCCCACTGTCTGCCTGGTTGTGGGGTGAGCGTCGTTGACGTTCAGCTAAGGATCCTGAGTGGTCTATGTAGCCCCCGCTATATTCTATCAGCCGAATACTCGGGAAATCGGAAGTGAGGGTTAAATGAGGAGCTGCACATTGCAGCAGTCTCGGGCGAAGTACGGTACACACTACTTTAAGTTTAACCGTCACTGGCCAAAATTAATCCTTCGGCTTCCTGCAATTGGCTGGTTGCACGTGTGTAACAATGTGGCTGTTGGAATACTCCGAAGTAATGTCGTTAAATTTACTGGAGAATCAATGATGAGGTCTGAGGACATTTTGTGTATTGGGGTACAGGGCCGGTAGCATGCGTTAATTTAGGGTAGCATGCGTTAATTTACTGACTCTGACACTACAACATTGGAATCCTTTATCGATTAGCACAGCTCGTAATCAATAAATGTAGTGGTTGTCGGCTGAACAGATTGCCGATGCAACCGCTACAAATTAGCTTTATAAGAGTCTTCAGTCATATTGATTTCTTCAAATCAGAGCTGCATTTTACACCCTCCTGTCTGGTGGCAGTGCAACTGTTAGTGAGGAAATTTTTGGGGTACCTCCCTACAGGCAATTGTGAAATAACATGGTAGCATGCCTTAGAGAGCGTATCTCCAATTTCAGGGGCGACCCTAGATGGATCAAAGATCGTGCATATCTAGGGGTATCTGTGATCTAGCGCCCGGCTCTACATTAAATACAGAAATATTACCGATTTTACGAGAAAATCGTGGTGTTGCTTGCTTACCTATGTTATGCTATGTATGCTAGAATAGGAAATGATCGCGGTGCCAACAAAGAATGCGGCCCAATATTGCTTTAGTTCTCCAGTAGGATATACAACTTGTATGAACAAGGCCAAGGCATGGCCTCAAAATTCGTTGCATCGTGTATTTGAATTGTAATATGGCCTAAGCGGGATTATTATATCGTCTTGACATGCTTTTCTCTGCATGAAGCCTAAATACTAAGTGTGGTAACACGTCGGTTAGTCAACGGGGACAAGCAGTACCGAAAATAAGCGACGCTTAGTTGAATTTCCCCCAATTTTTCTCAATGGCTGGGTGGCCTAGTGGTTAGAGCTTCCGCCTTCTGTACAGAAGGTTCAGGGTTAGAATCCCAGTTTTACTCAGTCTAGTAAGTAGCTAAGGATTCATTGGATCTATGTGATCTCCTCGGTCGACTCAGCCGAATGATAGGAAACTTGATTGAGGGTTAAATGAGGAGGGGTGCCTGTGCCAGAAGATCAAGAATCTTAGGATACTCCTTCAGAACATCTACAATGTAGTGTACTGTTAAACAAGGGCGGTCGAACTATTCGATGACCCTGTAGAGGAATATACGAACTTTACAAATTATACAAATTATTATTATATTCTTCACCAAGAGACATTATCAATTTGAAAGTCATGTTAATAAATTTAAATCACAAATTCATTATATCATAAATTCAAATCATACATCCAATAACTTTAAGAAAATCAAGTTAACAGTCTGCAGTCTCTCGTCATACTTAAGATCCACTTTGCTGCTCCTCGGCTAGGACGTTCTCTGCACAGTCTCTTCGTGAGTTTCACATATGTTATGTCCTGCTCCGCCTTCAGACAGTCCAGAAATTTCCAGATAGTAAGGTTTGAAAAGGATAACATTGAGTGCAGTAGAGGCCGTGGAGCAATCCTTCAGCTATGTTGAACTCCGGGGAAGCAGCATCTTGGTGGAGTCCATTTGTAGTGAGCGAAGGTAGGATTGATGAGATCTCGATCCATGTGGACTCGTAGCTAGTAACTGTAGAACTCCGCTATGTCTGTAGAAATCGAGTTTTCTGCACTGTATCCAGGAGTAGGGGCTTGTCTGGATTCTGGAAGGGTGTCTAGGAAGTTTCCAAGAGATGTCTTGAAGCTTGTCAAAGTCCTTTGAGTATTGACAATTTTGGGGAGAACATTCCAGAGTCTTCCAGCTCTTACTGCGAATGAGTGGTCGTAGGTGGAGCGTGTAGCAGCTGATGCTTGTTTGGTGAGAGAAGGGAGTATAACTTTAACTCCCAGTCTGGCATTCTCTCTGAACTGTACATCTAGAACATTTGGACATATTCCCTGGAGAACTTTCCACAGATGTATGATGGTGTAGCGTTCTCGGCGTCTTTGCAGTGATGTAAGTTTCAGTTCCTTCAGTCTATTCCATTTAATCGGTGTCTCTAGAGCCCTAGAATCCGTCTGGTGAACTAGCGTTGTATGCTCTCGAAAGACTGGACATCATAGATCTTGTTTTGATTCCAAAGCGGGCAGCAGTACTCCACTCTGGGGATTTGTAGAGCTGGAGCATAACAAGTGTTGTCCTGTCTTTGAATACTCCAAGAGTGTTGTCAGTGTTGAGTCTGGATATTCTTTTTTCCTTCGAACGTTAGTTTCCTGACGATAAGAAACAATAGTCAATTGGAATCATGAATTATTGAACATATATAGACTAGATACAATTGGAACATTAATTTAATAACTGAATAAAGATTTGGAGACAAGAATTGAACATAAACTAACTTGAAAATGACCCACCGGTTAATACGGAGTGCATGTCTCACTGTCTCAGACCCCTCACTATCCACGGCTCTCGCACAGCGGATATCATTAGTGATTATAGAGATAAAACATTCCTTTAGCTTCACCTGGAACAGACAAGGTTTCAACTAATACAGTAGCGGACAAACTAAATCATTTCAAATCGTAAAATACACATAAAATTTTGAACGGTAATAAATTCGGACACTCTGCTGTGCGCGCGTTTATTGCGCGCCAATAATTTAATTAAAATTTATCAATCCGAAAGTGCTTGCGATGTAAACTTCTTATGAGGATCTAACCAAAAATTACTAGTACTTGAAGATACAAAGAGTTGATATCTTGTGGTTCTTGAAAATATCCTATGTTTGGTCGAAAGGTTAACTTACTCAAGTTCGACAAATAATTTACTTGGTAGGCCAGATGTTCACACGCAGAGCTTTCGGGACTCGCGTTAGAACCAGACAAAATTGCAACACACCACTCTCAATACCAACAGAGAGGCTGGGAAAGCAGTCAAGTCTGCCATTAGCCTGTCTCATGCCATGTTTTTGAGTCACTCAAAAACCAGCTGATGAACGATCTTCCACCTTTGATCAGTGAGAAGATCCCACATGCATGTGAAAAAGGTGCATCAAGCTGGCTGACCGGACTACCTTATGAGAAGTACGGATTTGTCTTGAACAAGCAAGGGTCCAAAGACGCTATAGCACTGAGATACGCTCTACCCATTGCCAACATAGCCAAGAAATGCATTTGTGGCAAAGATAACACCTACAACCACATTCCTATTTGCAAGAAAGGAGGCTTTTTCAACAGCAGGCTTTGTCAACAGCAGACGTGACCACAGACGCTCCCGAAAATTTCAGCAAAAAGGTAGCCAACTTCAACAAGATCTTAGTACAAGCTGGCTACAACCATGTCGGGAAAACATCCCCTAAAAACAAAGATAGCTGGATGAATAGTGATATAAGAGCTAAGGCAAAGAATCTTAACCTCCTTACGTCGAGAAGTGGGGCAGAAAGTACTGAGGACCAGGTGATCCGCATATCTCAAGGTATAAGCGACGGATTCCAGAAAAAACCTGCTCAGCGGACAGTACTAGCGATGTTGGACTATTCTAAGGCGTATGACAGGGTATGGCAGCAGGAACTTTTCCACACCCTGCTTGATACAGGTGTTCCTGCCCAAATCATACGCTGGTTCAGAGCATTCCTCAAAGAAAGAACAGCCCAAGTCCTCTACAACGGAGCATTCAGCAAGCGATTCTTTATGAGACAGGGTCTCCCCCAGGGTGCAGTGTCATCCCCTCTGCTTTTCCTCTTCTATATAAACAGCATAAGTGAAGTGATCCCAGAGCAGAAGGAGTAGAGCTAGCTCTGTTTGCAGATGATGCCTCCCTGTGGGCATCAGACATCGATCTCAACAAAGCCAACAGATAAGTTCAGCTAGCTCTTGATTAAGTACAGGAATGGAGCAACAGGAAAAATATGATGCTCAATGTAGATAAAAGTGAAGCTACGTTCTTCACTCCAGCTACTAATGAAGCAAAGTGGAGACCTTCCTTGAACCTGGATGTAACACCTATCCCGTTCAACGCTAGCCTAAAGTTCCTTGGGGTTCATATGGACCGAACACTGTCATTTCAACAGCATGTCACTGAAGTGACCAAGAAAGTCTCTGAACGCTGTAAGATACTGGCGTCCCTGGCAGGAAAACAGTGGGGCTGGAGGAAAGAAAACCTACGGAGGGTGTACATTGCTACCCAGAGGAGCGTACTTGATTATGCTGCAGCTGCTTGGCAACCATGGCTATCTGCTACTCAACTCAACAAGCTAGAAAAAGCACAGAACAAAGCCCTGAGGCTAGTCACTGGTCAATACTCGTCAACACCTACAGAAGCGCTAAGAATCGAAGCTGAAGTTGAAAGCTACAAGACACATAGTGAGCGAATCATCACTATTGCTGCAGGAAAAGCAGACCGACTCCCTTCAGATCATCCAAGGCACACAGCACTACGCCCTAAAACACCTACCATCCACAGAAGCAAGATCCGTAGTTCCTGGAGAGAGAAAACTAACTCCACCAGAGGGCAACTACCAACTCACGGAAATCCCGTAGAAGCCCTTTCAGAAGAACAGAGGAAAAGGAACTGGAAAGTGTTCACAGCACTCCCAGAGACTCCTATGCTAGTACCCAAATCCCATCCAGCTGTGCCTAACAACCAACACCCTTTCTCCACACGACCAAGAGACACTTTCTGGGACACAAGCGATACAGCTAACGAAAGCTCTGCCAAAAGACTGACCGCCCAAAGTGCTATCAGAATGATTGACAAGTACGACATATGTACTACCATCTATACTGACGGATCATGTAAAGGTGGAACCAAGGAAGGTGGAGCAGCAGCAGTTATCACCACAGGGTCAGCAGCTAACCCCGTTATACTGGAGACCATCAAAAAGAAGGGAAATAAGTTCACCTGTTCCTATGGTGAGGAGAAAACTGCGCTTACGGAAGCCCTGAAATGGATGACAGAGAAGCAGAAGTATGATGACACCATCATATGCTCTGATAGCCAGGCATTACTGACTAGCATCGATAGCCTGAACCCAGACACACAGAATATCAGGAAAACTCTGGAATCACTCCATGGGACAACGAGTGGATTCCCGGCCACTCCAACATTTCTGGGAACGAATACGCTGACCAAGCAGCTAAGGAAGCAGCACAACTCCCGGACCTGGGCCAAGGACAGTCTACAATCTCATACGGAGTAGCCAGAGCAGTAGCGAAGGCTCACATCAAGGATAGCGACCCCCAACACCACCTGGTCTCCCAGACTTACAAGGGATACAACAGAAAAAGAGCGGACAGTAAAATAGAGAGCAGGAAAGACGGAGCGCTGCCAGCACAACTCAGAGCAGGCCATTGCCTTCACCTGTCCCACTACAAAAATAGGATCGACTCTACAAAGAGTGCAACTTGTCCCCGTTGCGGAGAAGAAGAAGAAACAGTTGCAGTACCACACTGGATTCGGTGCCCTGCAACGATCAGGACGAGAGAAGAAATCTTCGGAAAATCTGACTTAAACTTGGACATACTAACCACCAACCCGATAGATATCCTGGCGTTTGCTAAGAAGACCTTGCTTGAGGGACCCTTAGACGCCTAGCCCATCACCACAGCAGACACAACCGACTGGGAGACACTGTTGCAAGCATTCTTTTGGACTTTGTACAATGGACTTCTCTGTGGAAAATTGTGATCCACATATAGTGGCAAAAGAAGTGATTACCAAAATTTGGGAATCATCGGGGTGTGATCCTAAAGTGGTGGCAGCAAGTTTGATCGGGATTAAAAAACCTGCAGATAGTGGTAAACCGAGACCGATAAAAGTGACATTGGCTTGCACGGAATCAGTCAAAATGGTTCTTGCTCGAGCAAGAAATCCGAAGAAATCTAATTATGCAGCGTACCACAAATGGTACATCACACCTGACAGAAATAGGGAGGAGAAAGCAGCTCACCAGAAAATTGTTGTAAAAATGAAGGAAATGATTACTGCTCAGCCAACAAAGTATCACTATATCAGAGACGGCAATTTATTTGTAGATATCACCTTGGTACTCGGGACATCCTGGAAGGCAACAAGGCTGATATTGTGGTGGGGTCATAGTACTTTTCTATCAGCGAATTAAGTTAGAGAGGAAATGAATACTCAGAAATCAGTAACTCAGTTGCAAGGAGAACTATTGGACATAACAACTTTAGAGCTAGATTCAGTCCAGAAAACTGTTAAATCCGCCGTTAAGAGTTATCCAGTGTTACGGTGCTGCTGTGTCAAAACAGTCTACCAGCTTTGCTCTGCCTCCACTTTCACGGCTAAGAACTAGTAGAAAATAGTTCGGAATGTTGTAGATGAATAATATCGCAACAAGAATGTCTTGATTTAAAATCTCAGGGGGGATACAGGAGAGAAACTCGGCGATCAAATTTGCGATGAACCATAGCAGAAAAACCACGCTCCGAGGCAGCTCGATACGGGAATGTGTCCGCTGAAAAAAAAAGTACTCACATATTCCACTTTCAGCCCATATAATCGGTTGTTATCATGCCAGCATACAAGAACCTTCGTCAGGAAAGCATTACATCCCAAGGGAAATTCTGGTTCAGCTAGTAATAATGATATTTGTTTTACTTAATTTAATCTCGAAAATTCTGGTTCACTGCTTGAAGCTATACTATAATTAGAAAAATCAATCTACAAGATTAGTACACAGTTCCACTAACAGTTCCACTAACAGTTCCACTAATTCAGTAGCACTAAATACCCTCTAGCGATTACTTAATAACATAATCGCAATGTGCAATAATACAGTTACTTTCGGACAAATTAAAGCGTGTGACAAGGGATGCTAAAAGGAAACAAGCGAGCAACAGCAGAACGAGATTAGACGGTGCACGTGTTGAATTGCGTAGAAATATACGCGCTTCCAAAAAAATCGAATTAAATCTTTTCACTTCCAAGTAAAGTGCGCGGCGTAGCGTGTACTTTAAAATCCAAATAATAATTATTTTAGATTCAAATATTAAACACAAAAATTACGACATAGGACTAATCTTATGTAAAAAAATGTGATAAACAATATGCTGTCAAAAATATTTGTCAAAAATTTAAAAAACACGGTTCTCCGCCCCGTTTTCTGAAGTGATCATTTTATGGACTTTGACAGGCTATATGCTATAACATATAACTTTTGCTAAAAGTGGCCATTTGCCTAAAACTTTTTATAGTGTGACTCTACTCAATAATATTATTCCTTTGATGTATAATGTAATAGGGGTTTATTTGTTATTAAGGGATACAATTTTCATCCGCAAGTTTACGCTTTTAGTAAATACACTATAACATACAATGTAAAAGTTTAGTTTGAAGACAAAAATCACCTGCACTTGCAATATTTTTCCACTTCACTGTTTTAAGTTTATATAATGTATTATATAACGAATCGATTTAATATAGTATATTAGTCGAAAGTGAACTGTCGATCTATAAATTAAAAAGCAATTAACATTTTCATGTATTTACTGGGCGGTGCTCAGCCTGCAGCCTGTCATTCCGCCTAATCTCTATTAACTTGATCATGCACATGAACATATATGTATTTGCCAGGGCTCCCCAGGACTAATGTCATGTATAATACTTAATAATTAATTTGTAATACAAAAAAACATATTATATTATGATAATTCTGAATTCGACGCGCAGTTTGTACGTGTTTGTACGTGTAACTGTATATAGCGCGGCCGAAATTGTGACAAACCTACCTAGGAAGTAGCTTGACGTAATTGTATCGCGCGAGAATGTTTTTGTAGACGCGCATGTGACGTAACGACTGAAGAGCTCGCAGTGGGTGCGAAGTAAAAATGATGCAAAGTAAAAATGATGGGTTGCGCGGCGCGGCAAACTTTCTGAACTCAGGCAGCTTGAACAACTAAATTTGAAAAAGTAACACTTCTTGTCTGAATGAAATACTAGAACCTCAAAAAGCTGATCCGCATATCTCCGCTACTAAATTTTTTAATTGTTAATGAGCCCAATCACTCATCACTTAACAGTTTAATCCTCAAAGTGAGTTGTACAATTTAAGTTGTTTTAAGTAGCTGTTGATAGTGTAAAACAGAAGTGACTTGATCGTTTTCATAACTTCGATTTACAATTTGTACCATAATAAAACTAGCACTGCCATGGGGTTCGAAATAAAATGTAAAAAGGGTCATTGTAAGCCTCCAGCGTAATGGTCCTAAGTCTCTGCCCCATGCGGTGCCTGTCAGCATCAGCTAACAGAATAGCCCTAACATAACGATCAAGCCACAAATTAGGTTCTATAATGATTTAATATTGTTGAATAAAGAGATTTGAATATAATATTTGTTTTATTCTGAATATTTGTATTTATTGCATTTGTAAAAACTAAAGTAAGTTCATTTTAAATAAAGTCACAAATAATGAATAATTTAGAAATAAATATTCGGAAATTTATCCCATTATTTATTAATAACAATCAAAACATATCATATCATAAAAATGAAGCCGCGCGTTGGTTGACTGCCTCAGTAAGGTAAATAATTTAAGCTTGAAGGTGCCCCGCGCATTTACAGAACCTCATGCGGCGATCACATTATCAAAGTAAAGTCTAGTAAAAGTAAAATAAAATTTATGACATCACATCATTACACATGTTTACAACATATCTTTGCACTATATGAAAAAATATTTAATAAATATTTCCCCACCAACATTAATTATTTATCAAATACAATATAAATATTTAAAAACAATTTTATCAAAAAGGAATACAAAATTTTAAGAAATACAAATTTACAAAAACATTATCCTATTTTAAAAACTTTCCAGTGGAAAAAATTGCTCTAACCAGAGCCCTCTCGCTTACAGTAGCTCGCGAAACAAGCGCGTCACGCATGACGCAGTACGCGTATACTTACCTTGTCATACGTTGTATGACCCGCCGCGCATGAGTGCGCGGCTCCCCTGTATCGTAGAAACTATACACTATAGTGAAGCGACAGTGGGGGTCACCACGTGATACAATACTTACCTGGGTACATTAGGAAGCGCCTTCGTTTCGAAATCTTAAGAACGACGGTAATTTCTCTCCGGGGAGACAGAGGGGCGAGAAAGAATTTTGTCAATATAGCATATCGACAGTTTACATTAAAACTTGGAGCCGCATGCAAAGGCCAAGGGTGATTTTCAAAATATTGAGTTTTTGAAGGGTTATTTTTATATAGGGTCATTGTGACATTATGAAGAAAAGAATATTCAAACAATATACACATAATATAGCAATGGCCAATTGGCTGACTATAAGGTCATGGCCTGAACTTTAATAGTCAAGTGATGCTAAAGCAGAGCACAAATATGTAATAAGTTAATAGATAAAAATACTGATTCAATGATTAAAATTATAGCTGTGAGTGTCAATAAATTACTGTGTCATAAAAAAGGAACGATGTACACGTGATCTGAGATACCAATATCTCAATATCAAAAGGATAGTGTCTAGAAACATTCATAGTCCATGGTGGCAGGTATCAAGTTAAAAAGTTGTGACATTATCTGTATTCCTATCTAGATGAAGTGTTAACAAAAAGCAGCACACAAAAAGCATTCATTAGGAGAGTCGGATTTCTTTGGGGACAAAATGATGCTCTCCAGGATTTATCCGACTAGAAAGATCACGAAATAAATACTCTGCAAACATCTCAGAGAAATATTACCACCATAAAGAACAAAGAGGGAATATCCTGGACCCCGAAATCCACCACTTTTCTGTACTTTCAGAGGTACCAATGTGGCAGAAAACCAGAGCTCATACTGCCTCTGAGCTAAAGCAGTAGAGGGGATGGCGGCTTCTCTAGGATCTAACCACTAACACGTCCTGAAGCAGACCAACACTATGTCCCAACGCACTGGTGTTGGGATGTCTGCCCCCGTTGCCTGTCCGGGCCAATAAAGCAGTCAAGCATCATGTATGTTAGGATGAGCATTCTCAACCAGCAGATGCGGGAACTCCCACAAAAGACCAAAACAGATCTAAAGAGACAATTAGCAAACTCGGAAAAATAGACTCACATTTGTTTATATAATTCAAATTACGTTACGTAATTATGTTATTACCCACGTTAAGGGGCCTGTTAATAATTAATTAAATTATTAACTATTTTAGATTTATTAATAATAATAATATGTGTATACTGTTTGAAACATTTTATTAATGTTAACATTAATTGTTAATTATTTATCAAACACAATATTTTTTTTAAAATTGATTCAAATTGATTATTCATGTTATATTGAGCCCTTTGGCTGGAGAATAATTTCTTAGATATTTTGGACAGTTTTTAATATTGGTAATGTTAATGAATTGAAATTGATTGATATGTAATATTTAGGCACGTGGCCATTTTTACATATTGTTCATGCTATAAGTTGTTCCTCTAAAATCTAAAACGATATTGTGCATTGATGTTAGCTAGTGCACTGGAATACGTTTGAAATGGTTTTTAAAAAACCTGTATGGCAAATTTAAGATTCGATGCCGTCAGGTTTGTTCATTAATGTAGGTAAAATTTGAAATTGCAAAAAATGATTTTTTAATGAATTTAGCAAAATTCTACCGCCAACCGCTGTGACGTGAAAAGCACATAAAGAATTGTTCAACATCGAGCACTACCAAAATTCCCCTCTTCCTGGCCTCCTTAATCAGTTCGATCTAGTCTGTTAAGGATACATTTGTAAACATAATAAAATGTACCATACAAATATTTTTGTTCATCTTGGCTGAGTCGACCGAGGAGACATTACTATACACAGATGTGTATTGTGTAACGTTGCCTAGATCCAACGGATCCTTAGCTTTCATCTGCACCCTAGACTATGTGACACTGAGGTTCGCATCCTGGACCTTCTGTACGTACAGAAGGTGGAAGTTTTAGCTAATTATCGTTTGAACTCATGTTCTCGTTGACCCCAATTCCTCTCTTCTTGCTGATTGAATATTCTGCGTTTATTGTTGTTTAAATATATAATACATGGAAACCAAATTATGGGAAATTGCTTTATGTAAATGTCAAATTTGGTTGTTTTCAATTAAAAATGTAAAATTTTATACATGTACACTTTATATATTAGCGACAATGTAGATTCTGGATGATGATTAATCACTCTTCACTCCACTGTCACGTGACTTTTTCAATACGTTCTTTTGGTGTCCGAAATTACATCGATTAAAGTTAGATTTAAAAAAATCTCGAAGATCGAGTGTAGAGTGATTGAGCACGCTCCGTGGATTCTATATGACTGTTAACATTTATCAACTGTTATTATAAGGTTATCATGTACATTCCATTCATGATCTTAGATGAATGGAATAAAATTTAAATATTTATTCGATATTTCATCCATTCATTTTCAGTTTTAAAACATACAATTACAATATTGTTTGACAATATATTAAGGTGTATAATCAGTATTTGTTTTAAAAACTGGAGATTGATCCTTTATCTGGAAATCCTTTTGTATTTATTTATATAAAAACATCACCCATACTTTTTTAATAGGAGGGTTTATCAACAAGCACAACAGCAAAGATTTTACCTCTAATAGTGTTCAAGTTAAAACTCACCATTCTGTACCAGTAAGTACAATTTGTTTTTATAATTCATCCCTTTTGTACTCAAAAAACCAAAATGCAACTTAAACCAATATTAGGTTTAAAGAAGCTGTAAGATCCTTTTTTACTAAAACGTTTTTGTTGTGTGGGCTTAAATATGGGTCAAGTGTTTGTGGATGTACATATGCCAATGCAATGTAATAGTAAAA